TCACTCGATCTAAGAGGTCATTTTATGTCCAATTTGTTTATTTAGATTTATTAATGGTTTTATTATTTTTAATTTTAATGAGAATATTAAATATAATTAAAAGGTTGTTTATTTTCAATTAAACGAGATTATTAAATAATTCTGTTTTTAACATTGGTATTTCTTCAAATAGATTAACAGTTATGTCCTGAGTGGCATTAAATGTAATGGACCACTTACTAATAATGATCTATTGTTTACTAAAAGCAAATTCTAATCGTCATTTATTAGGATCTCTTCAAAGGCTATTGAATCTGGTATCAGATCGTATACAGAATTAAATAGGACTGTCATAGTGCCAATAGAGCAAGCTGTTGTTGAAATATCTGGTCATTTGAAAATCGTTAATGGATATTGCTAAATATCCATTGAAGCATTGATCATTTTGTCAACTATTCATTCCACATACAAAGGCTACATCTGCAGTTTACGGAAGCCAGTTGCATCATCGGACAATTTATTTGTTAATGGACCAAAACATTGACCGAATAAGGCTTTTGAATTTTAAGCTTTCAATCTTTGTAATAAGACAGAGATTTCACATTCTTCATTGAGCAAATCGTTTTGCGATAAATTATATGAATTGATGGCAAGTCAATTTAAAGCATTTTTTTCTGATTTGGCGAATGTTGATGGGTACACATTTATTGTATGTTTATTACATAAATATGTGTGCTCAGAGTTATTTATAGCAATGGCGATAAAAATTTTAGAACTCTTTGATAGTTATAAATAACTACAATATACATTTAAAGATACATAGATACATTACTTTAAAACGTAATAATTTGAAAACACTATGTTTCTGAAATTAAACTATCACATATTATTTTTAACCCATTACATATGATGGGATGATAATAAGAGGTTCAAATTGTGATTAAGACCTCAAAATTATAGTTGTAGTGGTAATTAGTAGATTTCCTAAATTGGTAAATATGGCTTACCCATATTATCCTGTGCAACTATATATTGTGTAATGTTTTCAAGTACTTTTTTTTAAGAAAAGGGATTTTTTATCCTTTTAATGTTTCAAATATGATTTAAAGAGTGATAATTAAATGTGTAGAACGGTACGGCGTGCTGACACGAGACAAGCGTTTGATCGTATCACCTTTTCAATAGACATCGCTCAATAAAACCAAACTGTTTTGGTCTCTATTACAACAACATCAGTCAGAAATTCTATATCGCTAGATTGAAGATAGCAAAATGAAACAGTATGTTTCCCATAAGTAAATTTGCAATTTTCGTTTAATAGCTGAATTCTTCTCGAATCTTTTTTTAACAAGTGTATTTTCATATTTAGTTTCCTTTCCGTTTATTTAAAATAACTAATAATTTTTATTCATATGTTCTAATATTTGTAACCATATAAAATTTTACTAGGTACTTCTACGTTCATTTCGATATGTGTACTGTATTGTTGTTTATCTGTCGAAGTATAACTTATGTTGTTGTCATCATCAGCATCTTTACGTCCCCATTGCAGGGGTTCAGGCCTTCCTTATGGATGGTTAAGGAGGATGAACCATGACCGTCCACGTTGGCCAAATGCGGATTGGAGAGTATTAACGACTGCAAATACAGCCGAAACCAACGACTTAACGTGCCTTCATAAAATATTCTTAAAGAAATATACTTAACAAATCCCATCTCGGAGTACCACGGACAAAGTGTTTTTAATTTTTTTAAGCATTTTTCATAAAGAATTTTTCCGGTATAGCGTTGTGAATGCCAAATCGATCATAATCACTTAAATAAACAACAACTAAATAGATATTTTTCGAGACGATTGTATTTTCATTTTCGTGCGCGATTTTTATCAAATTCCGTTTATAATTTTCCCGTGAATATATAAACTGTATTATTTCTAAGTTTACTTATTAGATTTTACTATGATGGAATGTGTTTTCTCGAGCAAAATCCAAAGACTATGATGCATCGACGTCCGCGGGTAATGATACATATCATTGATTGTCGATAGGGAATTCGCCTTAGGTGTCCATTGAATTTCCCCGTGAACCACGGGTTAGGTTCTCGATTATTGAGATTGAAAAGGTCGAATGTGTCTTCAGCTCCGACGTCGATGATCGAGGCTTTAAGATTAATTACATCAATCATTTCTTAAATAAAAAAAATACTGTAATTGAACTATTATAATGTTGTTAACATCGTGATTAGCTTTAATTGTAGTTAATTTCTGTCTGTGATATCTTTATGATTAAAATGAAAATAATTATGATAGCGAGAAGTTGACTTATTTATTGTAAAACTTAGAATTAAAAAGAAGTACTTTAACTACTTCAATCATCTTAACGTTCTATGAGAATGATGTAAGAAAAATAGAACTTATCCATGTGATTTTAGGGAATGAATTTCAATAAACATCTCTCTATTATTCAATTTCAGTGGATATAATATTTAAATTAATTAGTTAGTTCCTTTGAGAGATATCTGTATTATCTTGGGTGAATATATAACCTTGGTTGACTAAAGAAGTATGGGCGATCGAATTGAATCGATTTCTTAGATATCGAAACGTGCAGTCGAGAAACGGTATTCACAGATAGCGTTATCTAAATACGTCGGAGCAAACAGGTATACATAGGTGATTTATTTCAAGAAAAAGTTCAGTTTTTCAACAGAACAGTATTTCATATACAGGTCTAGAAAAGGATAAGAAAAAACACGAGGTTTTTTAATTTATATTACTTTGAATGCTGTTAAGTTTCTGAACTCAACAGCATATTGAAAGTTAAAGGATGTACTGTTATTTAGTTTGCTTAATGAGAAACATTATTATGATGTTTGCGACTCAGATTGTTTTTAGAGAAAGAAAGATGTTTATTGATCATATAAAAGAAACAGAAGAGCGCGTTGACATCGAGGTTAGTCCGTTCGATCTGCTTGCGAAAGTACCTTTGTCTGTATCTGTTACGTTTTCACGCCTAGACTACAGAACCAATCTTAATGAGACTTGGCAACGCATCAAAATATTTTACTAATTTGAATAAAGAATGTTTTGCCTATTGAAAAATCGTAACACCTTTGAAACATAAGTCAGTCCATCGGCTAAACTATAATCGCGTGCGATCACAATCTCGACATGCAAAGTCATAAAGCGAGTGCTCGACTCGCATTAAACAGGCTATTGTTCAAAATCTACGCCTATTTGATATCCAAAGAGGTTTTGTATCGTCCCATGATAGGGATGCAGACAGTACAATAAGGGTAACAGTCCAACGCTTTTTAATCGATATTCCATTCAGCCATTCAGATCAAATCGATAGGTATCGACAAAGCATGGAGAGAGATGTGACAATTTATTTGAAATGGTTGTCAGATACAAGGGCAGAGCGAAGTCGGGTGTTTTTATGAGCCGACTTTACAATATCTTGGTTCGTGTCAACTTTCAACGCCTCTAGAATATAATAGCGTTGTAATATAAAGAGCGTATTAAAAATAATTATGTATCTAAGGTTTTTATTTTCATTTATGTAGTTATGAATAAATGAGATAATGTCGACTCTTACCGGAATCTTATGTTAGGACTCTAATAAGTGTCAATTTATTTAAGTCTGTAGTTAAATTTATTATTATATGGTACAACAAGTCCTATTACCTATTGTCCTTAGCTCTCAAACAATTGAAATTTCATAATAAGTAAATTCTTCATTCTAATATATATATGTAGTTATATTATTTCAAGTAAATCATTTTAAGAAGATTGTTTAAAATTAAAAAAAGTATACCTATATTGTTAATATGTTAACGTGAGCTTGTGTGACAAAAGGGCTTAGCATTAGCTCGCTTTTAGTGCAAAGGAATAAGGGTTTTGCTGCGGGAGTTCTTTCGTCAATCGAACTTTACTGTTTACCTTTGCACGGCTGACTTACAGACTCTTTAATAATATATATATATATAAGTAATTTAGTGACACTCAGTGTCCTTTTCGTATTTAAGCCTATATTGTAATAAGATTTGAAATAATTGTTTGTGTCATATATAAATAATAAAATAATAAAAAAGTAAATAAAAAAATCTTTCGATTCTATTTACAATCCTACAATGACATTTACGTTACTAAATGATACTTATATGATTAATAAATGATACTTATATGATTAAATAATGATGTTTCATATATATGATCACCTACTTTATATCTCATAAGAACTAAGAAAAAGAAGAAAATACTTTATAAGCAACTTTTTCATAATAACCAACTAGACAGCTCGTTAACAATTCCATAATTTAAAGTAACAAACTCATTAACACCGCTCTAAACTACATTAAATATGTGGTGTACTTAATAAACCATTGGGATACAAATGCCGACGGGGCATAGCCCTTCCCGACCTCAAGTTGCTTGTTACCAATGATATCTGCATTTGCCTGATGAAACGAAGCATAACTCATTCGATTTGTATGAGCCCGGTTCTCGGATGTTTAATTGTACTTACTTACATTATAAAGCTAAAGTCATAGACCAGTTACAGTTTGTCAAGCTTTTGATTTTATGAGTAAGAATAGTGAGGTCTCTATAAATTGGTTTTTAGTTTTCGCCCTCAAACGCTGTCATATCACGGGGAGGGGTTTAATCACTTGTGTGACTAATTGTCTTTTGTTAATTGACAAGGACAGTTCGTGCTATTGTTGTATTTATTATTAAATTGATATGTATTTATCTAATTATTTTTATCGGTTATGCTTAAATTGGGATTGATAGAGTTTAAAATATATCATACACACATTTTAAAAATTTACTTGCAGTAACCAGAGTATTTACAAATGAAGTGATTAGAATATTTCGCACGTTGAGAATGACAATGTCACTAACCAAAAACGACGTATTTTTTACTTTTGGCAACATTTTTCGGCTAGGTAGCGTAGTGACGATACGTTGTTTAGAGGGGCGGATTACAATTTCTTGAATTTTAAACGCTTATTACTGAAAATCGTATTTTTTGCAATGTGTCACTATCGTTCTCAGCGTGTTTTTTTATTTGTAATGATTTGTGTTTTTTATTTGTAATAAAAAACATATAGATTAGAATATTGAATAGACTAGAATATAGAATAGATTAGAATATAGAATAAATTGGCATATAGAATATTGAAGTTTTTAGGTTACTCAGTTGTGATTTACATTATATATAAGTTATCAGCTTTCATTGAAACTGAAAAAAAAACTGCAGATAATTTAAACCTTTCATCATTTTGTAACAAATTTTATTTAGAACTTTAAAATATTATATTATGCTGTTAACGTCTTCTCGCATAAGCTGTTTTTCTGCGATTTTGCTTGCGTAAATTAAAGCTTACGTCACCCGTGTATGATATAGCTTTTCATAGATAGAAAAAAATATGATCGGAGTAATATTTCCCAAATTATTAATATAGATATAACTTACTAATCCCGTTTGAGTCTTAACAAGTTCAACTTGAATTCTTGCCACCCTTTGTCATCCCGTTCCGGGTTTTATAAAAAAACACGTCATTGATCTATCCATACTTCACCCCCCGTTGAGAATGAAGCGTTATATGTTAATCGGTGTTTAATCGACGTGAATCGTAAAATCTATCGATGTCATCATTTATATATTAAAAACATGTTGCCTTTATATAGATCAGTTGCGTGATATTTGTAGATATAAAAATTCGTAATTTATTCCTTATAAGAAGTTTGGTATAAAAAGTTCAACCTTTTTTTTGTTATGTATGCATAATAATTTGAATTTCATAACATTGAGAACTTTGCATTTTCAAATTTTCTTACTTATTTATTATTATTTAACTTATTTTGTATATTTCTTATTTACTTATATTATGTTTAATCATACTGTTGACGACTGGCTTTGTAAGACACTATACTTTTTAGTGAATTTTATATTTTTACAATTTGTTCTTTTTGATTTTACTCCATATTATTGACATCGTCTTTTCCCGTGCTAGAGCTGTGATTTGTGATTTATTATTATATAGTTCATTACTTATCCATTAGCTTTTTATTATACAGCCATCATTCATTATCATTAACATTGTGTGCTTTCAGAACCAAAACTAGTCAAATCTCGCATTGTATATAAGCACTCTAGTTTACCTTTGGTATCAATACACTTTAGGATGATATTGCAATGTAAACTGAAGTAGGCCTTAATTGAACTTTTAAGTATTTACTTAGAGAACTATTTGTACCTAATTCGCTTAGCAGTCTAGCATGAGAAAGCAGAGTTTATCGAAAATAATAATAATTAGGTTTTATTGATTTCGTCTTGAGCTTTTTTATTTTTATTTAAAAGACTTAGTCGCTAAGCGATTTTGTCAACCTATTATTATACAGAGTTTAGTATAAATGAGTACCTATTTAAATGAAATAATTAAAATTAATATTCGCAATACCCAAAAGTTACTTACCTGTAAAGGTATTCTATTAAGAAGTCGTTTTTTATCTTATTATTGTGCCACGAATACTTAGCACAATTATTTGATTTAGATTTAAGATTATATCAATGTTTGCCATATTCTAAATAGAATACAGTATATAGAGATTACCGATAACAGGTATACAGAACGATCGTTTATCTCCTCTAGCTTTAAACTCTAGCCATAGGATACGACGTCTTTGTTATTATAACGTTATTTCGTTTCATTTCACCACATTGACATGTTAAAAAATATAACGAAATCCAAACGATAAAGTTGAATAATGATGAATGTTGATTTGACAGTAGTGTTTCCAATTTAATAATTAATATCAAATTTGTCTACCTAAACACATGTCAAAAATAGTGAAATGAAACGAAATATCGTCATAATATTTGCTAAAATGTCGTAAGCTATGGCTGGAGCCTAGGCTGTCGCAACCCTGGGTTAGTCTAGTATGTGAAATCTGAATTTATCAAAAATAATAACGGGTTAACGTGCCTTCCGAAGCACAGAGGAGAAAATGGCTTATCTTCCGTTTTGCAAATCGAACTCGCTAACCACCTCGTCATCGACCACCTCAGTTTTTTTTTATGTATATCTATAATATAGAAACAATCTTGATATCTTGTAGAACCAATGTAATTATTGCTATATTTTAAAAGACTTAATATCTAATGTGATAAAGGTCCCATATTTAATTTTTAATGAAATATCTTGCGTTATGTTTTACCTTCTGTATATATGAAAAATAACGCAGAACATTTTTATGAAAATAAATAGGGCTCCTGACATTTTATGTCGTAATAAAAAAGTAAACATTTAAACAAATACTTTTTCTATTATTTTTTTCTTTGCAATACTTCCATATGCTACTGCCATCTGTTATGGAGTAGAAAATTCAATTACTGTATTTTCTTTCAAAAAAGTTTAACTTTGCTTCACTAGGTGGCGCATCATACATAATACTATATTCCTATATACGCAAAATGCATTGCAGAATAAAACAGTGACCATAAATTGATTTTTTTTATAATATAAATAATATTTAAATAGAGAATATTTAGAAAGAAAAAAATGTGTTATAATAAGTCAGAGGGCTGGTGAAGTCAGCAGGGAGTTGTGCTTCATTATCTGTTTTAATAATAAAAAAAAATGTCATTGTCATAAAATTACTCTATGTCATTGTTTATCAACAACAATGACTGCAGTTTTATTATGCCTATTTTAGTTTATTTTACGCTAAAATAAAAAAGTATACGAAAAAAAAATATGTGAGAACTACATAAAAATATAAAACAAGATGAGAATATTGATTGATGACACAAAAAGTTAATTATGATAGGTTATGTTAGTTAATTTTAATCAAGAAGGTAACGTTTTTATAAGCAATTATAGCTCTTCTTACATAGACACGATGAGATTACCTATCACAAGGCATCCTTTGAAGTATTTCCGTGTATTATATAGTACAGAGAAGAAACATATTTTCTTTCCCAATGTAGTTTGTTACTATGCTACAACTTTTGATATTTATGGGCTTACATACGATTTCATTGAGAGATATAAATTTAAACAAAATAATATTAATACAGATATGAACAATTTTTCGATAAGACGCTATATGGATCATGGTAGTAGTTTAAAAACGGTAACAAATATGAGTGAGAACGAAATACAGGAATTCATAATGAAATTGCTTTCAAAGAGCAAAGACAATCAAATTGAAGAAATAATAACATATTGTCGTAACAATCGCAAGTTCATAGGAGAATTGACTTTGAAAAGATTATTCAGGCATTATAGTTCAGCAGGCAAGCCAGAAATGATATTGTATTTGCAGAGTTATTGTTTAAAAGTTGATCCAGATTTATACCGAAGAAATGGGAAGTTTATGCACTTCTTGGCAAAAGCCCAATGTCTCAAAGGGAATGCTGAGAAAGGTCTGTCAATATTAAAGGAATGTTATGATAAAAATGAAGGTCTACGGAGTTTTTATAGAATTATACTTAGGGAACTCATACAAGATGTTGTATTGAACAAATCAGAGGCATCGCTGGTTATATTTAAAAGATATGTTATGGATTTTAGCAATGTTTATAAAGACTACTATCCATTGATTTGTTTGTGGCATTTATGCTGGTCTAGTAATTGGTTTTCAGACCAAGTTTTGGGTGATAAATTGTTAGAAGAAAATGAAGATTTAAGAAATATTGTAAAAGACAAGTAAGTTGAGTTTTAGAATATGTACAAACCTACTTATTTGTGTGTTTCTTTTTGTGGCTTTGCCCAAGTGTTTTACACAATGAGTTGACATTTATGATTGTGTGATAAAAAGTAGCCTATATGTTAATCAAGGCTTTAAATTATCTGTATACCAACCTGCATTAAAAACCATGCAGTTTCTATATAGGTAATATTAGTAGGATAAAATGTATTTTTAATTAGAGCAGAACAGCCGGTTTTAGATACTGCTCTTTTTTTGGCCATTTAGCACTTCAAGAAACATTCTTACTTTGCCGTCAATGGTTTTTAAGTTGTTGCATTATGGTAAAACTAGTAGCTTTGATGTTTCAAATTTTTAGGCAGCTGATAATTTGATTGGTAAATCAGTTCATAGATATATTAAAGTGCACATATTTTGTGATAAAAATTGTTCAATCAAACAAATAAAGAAATAAAATTATTGGTCGACCAAAAATTTATTAGTGCGTTTCTGTTTGAAACCTGTATTTACCACTGTGACAAAGAATGTTACTAGTCTACTTTTTTATTTAAAATTATTACTGTTTCCAGGGCCACAGCTTTTAGTATATCAGCCCTGAAAGATTACAATGAAGATGCTGTGATGAGACTGTTGCAGATACTCCTCAAATACCAATTAATGGGTGAATATGTGAAGGTGCTTCAAGTGTTGTTCAATTTTAAGTGTAAGTAAAAAATAAGTACTAAGAAATTTTTAAGTACCTAAATTGTGACTGCATAAAGTCACAATTTAGGTGACCAATTTATTATCCGACATGGCGAATGTTTTGCTTTGAAAAGCATGTTAAGTTACTGTACCTAGTTGTATATATTAACAAGACTATCAATAAAGTCAATGCACTATTTAGCAGCCACTCTTTAGCCTTGGATTTTTTAATAATGGGAAATACATATATGTTTGACTCTTTCCAGCAGACCCACTCCCCAATAGATTCGGTAAATAGTCTTACGAACTCACTAAAACTAATATCCCTTTATAGCAAGCAATGCATGAGAGTAGTCAGAAGACCATTGGTCTGTCTGTCTGTCCACTGCTGAATGACTTTATTGATAGTCTTGTTAATATGTAGATTTTTATTTTATTTATAATTCATTCATAAAATTTGCAATGTACCAATTTGCAATGGTTAGTATACATTGCCTTAAAAATTATGTTAGGTGATAATATTTTAACAAGAAATTGATTGGATTAATATGTACATAAAATTTATATGCCTGAACTAAATTGACCCGATGGTAAAAATAAAAAAAAATTAAAGAAAAACAAAAAGCCCGACTGCGTAAAAACGAATTTTAAAAAATACATGAAAAGATTAACTTTAATAAAAACTAAAAAGAAAGAAACAAGCCCAGTACTTTAGAATTCTGTTAAGTAATACTAAATAACTACACAATTTAAATAGTTTGCAGAACAGAACGACTCACAGTTGGGGCCTCTTGGGAAGATTTGATTGGTAAAATTATTTATTTTTATTTTATACTTTCTAGTTATCTATCGAGCTTGGTGTTAAACTTTCTTTATTCGGCAACTTGGCGATAAATAAAAGTTTTTTTTTTACCAAAAATATTTGTTCTTCATGTTTGTTTCTTTTTTTGTTCTCACTGTTTTTTTTTTTTGTTTGTATATTGTTTATAGTTTAAATAAAAACTTAAATCAATAAGTAAGAAAATTTGCGAGAATGATGTTTTGTTAAACAACTTTAAATGATTATATTTCCTAAACTATTATTTAAAATGAAAAATTATAAAAGGAACCTAAAGATGATTTTAAAATACCTATTGAACGATACCCCACTTGACACAGTTCATCGATTTTTTTTTTCATTTTGACAATATGGCATCTGGTTGTCGCTGTGGTGAATTTTGATTATTGTCGTATTTTTAGTGACACTCGCAAGGTTAAGACGAATCGATTGACGTAAGAATCATCAAAATCGGCCTACGCATTTGGTCTCTAGTACGCCACATAGAAACAAACATACATACATAGACTGATAAACACATTACCCTCCTTTGCGTCGCGCAGTCTAGTAAAAGTATACAAATAACTAAAAATTTAATACAAAACAAATCATTTAAACCTAAAAAAAGAAATTTTAAAACACTTTAACTCTATTAATAGCTTTTATGTTTCATTTATCCGTGTACGACGTCATTTATAAGGTATTCTAAAATTGTGAAAGATTCAGATGATAGTTAAAGATTATAAAATAAAGCTTATTAAATTAATTATAATTTTCCTTTGTATAAGTAGCATGTGGCATATGGTGGTCTAATCATATAGTTCCCAAGCAGCAAAATTATCCTATAGTGTAGATGTTATAGGCCTTCAGTACTTAAAACATTCTCTTAACGGTCATAGTATTTACTGTCACGCTTATAATAGGAAGCATGGAGTCACTTGGGCCTTGTAGTATATCCGCTCTTCTATATCAACTTATAACCTCTTATAGATCGAAATTAAAGATGTATTATACGCTTAGGTGTCCTATAAAAGGATGTTGTGGGTGTAAATGTACTCGAGAGTAGATAAACTAGTAAGCTATTCTTATAACTGCTAAAATAACTCATTATAGAACTATTACAAGTAAAGTACGCCAATAAAAGTGCTAAACATACTGGAAACCATTTGCATTTATTACTTGATTTTATATAGGTTTATAAATCCACTTTGGGCAACAATAATAAGTAAAATGGATAAGTTTTATAGTGGTATAACTTAATATTGTTATAATCACAATACTAATATAAAGGTTTTGATACAAGAATGTATTGGTTTAATATGATCCTGCAAAAGTTGTTATAGTCTCAACCAAACTATTTTAATTCTGATAAAACTTATTCCTTGCCGAACTGCTATTAACTTCTGTTATCAAATGGATCTGTATAAATAGAAACGGCTAAAAAGAAGTGGTTCTTACAAACGAAAAGTTCCGAAAACCTATGAGCAAATAATTCAGGTGTCCGGTTTGAACTTTATGTCTGGCGAAGAAAGTATCGTAGAAACAGGAAATAGTTCCGTACAAAGCAATTCTTGTGATAATTTGAGACAGAACGTTTATAATACTAACTCAGCACAAAATGACGGTTTATCGATAAAAATCGATTTGAATTCAGACCTTGAATTATCAAATGAGGAATCTGTATCAGAAGATGAAAGCGATATTGACGGCTATTCTAATTTTGAACTATATCGTGATCTTAGAAAATGGGGCTGTAGACCCGAAAGCATTATATTGAAATACGTGGCAATGTTATTGAACAAGCACAAGCTGCATTATTTTATTTTTAATAATTCACTGATTGGTTAATTCCGTTAGTAGTTATAATTTCTGCTAAAATACTTACCAAACTCGTTAATGGGTCAATAAACAAAATATTGATACCTGCTTATGAATTTTTATTCAAGGTAAATTAAAATTTTTCCCTCTTACATTAGATTTCCTACCTTACTTTTACACAATAATTTATTCCCAAGGCCACCTTGAAGTTTTCAAAGCTCGAAAATAGCTTTTAGTCAAAAAGTGAACGACGTCCAAAAACACTACCAAGTTAGCTTAACAAAAATTTTATAATAAAATATGAAAAATATCCCGATTAATATTTGTTGAACCCTGATTCCAAAAAATATGGCCAAGAAACGGTTCTAATGTCTGCCCTTTTTAGACAAAGTACGCCTAAAATGGTTTGTTAATGTATTTGGAAAAACCATCTGGCAAGATGGCGACTTTTCGTTATATGATCTTACTGAAACCGAAATTATTTCGAAATCTAACTTATTAAAAACGCTACTACTGAGAGGCGAGTAAAAATTTTAATAGAAAACCTATTATACTTCACCGAAAATATACATGCGCCAGTCATTACTTATTGTTACATAAGTAACACTTTACTTTTAATTATATTTTAGATATTATTTATAGTTAGAAATGGATGAAAATTTACCATTATCAATATAAATATGTGCAACAACATTTGCCAATTCAGAACACTTTGAATGAGCCTATAAGAGTTTTTTTTCTGTCGTATTTAGTTCCATTAAGCGCTGACTGTTAGCTTCGCAGGAGCAAATAGTTCTATGTAGACTAACTATAGGGTCGTTATTGAACAAACTGGTGCTCACCAAGTCTATTATAGATATTGAATAAGAGCAAATACGCCTGTATATTGGGCCCTTTTCCGTGGTTATAATTGCTTACTATTCCATTATAGTCCTGATAAAATTGTGGTTCCAGGATGATTACTAGACCACATTTTGCTGCTTGGGTTACTAATTGCCAGATTAAATAATTTTACTTGAACTAAGTCTTATATACATTGAATTTTTATTTACATTTGCATGTGAACAAATGTTCTAATAAATTACATGTAAAAAGTATTAAAAATTTGTTAAATACCAGCAACCTCGTGGGACTAAATGGCAACGACTTAAAAGCATAATTTAATCAATGAGTTATACTTATAATTGAATATTTTGAATACAATGTTTTAATATCTGCAGCAGAATAACAACAAACAGCGAGCATATCTCCTAAAAAAAAAAACTTCATATTAGTTTATGTAAAACCACAATTCCACTATGGATTGCTAAAATCTATTTCGTTTATCTATTTGTTCTAATTAAGTCCGTCTTGCTCCAAATATCTCATTATGTATTCATATTTATTATTTGCCTGATATCTTTTGCACACACGTTTATTGTCTTGTCCTTTTATTATCCTTAATGAAACTATGTCACTTTAAGAGTTATGTATGCATGATTCTCTTTTCTCTAATACTCTAACTCTAACCATATTAATTTCTCTAACTGATTTTAAAGCTTAATGTATATACGATAGAGCTTGAAATCATTACAGATATTTGACATATCATTCACTGAATAGTACAATGGCACAACTCAAAAACCATATTTCGAGAAACGCTCTCCGAAGTTATGAAAATTTAATATATTTATAATTATGAAAATCATTTTTTTTAGCATAACAGTTAAATCGTTTGTTTTATATTATTACTGTTAAGTTTTTTTTTATATTTTCTTTCAATTATCTATGGGATGCTACCACAATGTTGTGGCATTTTCTCGAAATAATGGTTTTTGAGTTGTGCCACTGTACTATTCAGTGAGCGATATTATCGTAACCTAATGGGCCTACTGATGTGCATACTATTTAAGTACTTATTATTAAAAAAAAAATCTTAAAACAATATAAATATGAGTGAATGAGGGCGAATGAAGACATAGATGAATCTTAAACTCTTCAAGCGCACCGCAGTCACTTTATATCGCTTCAATGGAATAAAAACTATATTACCATTTGAAGTAGGTTGTAATTGATTAGTGGAAGTTGCTTAACCATCGCATCGCCGATCGAAAATGACCTCATGAATTTATTAAGATTTACTAAGTAGATTAATAGTACTTAACAAATTTTTTTTTGGCGTTACTGTTTTGGATAAGTAGGTACAATATCTATATTTATCTAATTTCAAATTGTATGTAGTCAGGCACATTACGATACTATGTTATAATTGCTACTTTTTAAGCTTACATTTATTGAAATAAGATTATATTTTTTTAAAATCTTCCGAATACTAATAAGGCAAGACGGTTAAACTGGATCGTGACCAGACCAAAGTCGCGGATTGATGGCTATAATCAAATTATCTGGTCAATATGTGATCCATTTCAATCTGGCATCAATTAACAGATTAACGATTTGATCGTATCATCTGATCGTGATTATGGATTGATTTGACTCCAGATTGATTGTTTAATGGCCCTAATACGTTTTTCACTTATGTTATCTTCCGCTATTCCAACAATTATTTAATGTTATGTATTTATAATAATAATTGTAATAACAAATAAGTTACCATGTCGCTTGACCGCCCTGTTGACCCCACGTCTATATTTGCTGACCTTATCATAACGTTATTATTAATAAATATCAGTCTTCCGAGCGATGACTTATAACCCATAATTTTGTTCTTCCTACATCGTAAATTCGACCGCTTTCAGAAGTCTCAGAGCAATAGAGTTTTATATAGGTTATGTCACTTTTCTCGGGTGCGCCCACACGAAATCCCACTCTTGAACCGAGAAATTGACAATTGGGTGTAAACAAAGCATTTCTCGAGAATTTCATGCTACGCGTGCAGGTGATACTGCAACAGTCGCCAGATGGAAAGAACATGCAGTAAACATCAAACTTCACTCACAGAGTTTGTCCGAAGAATGAAGTTATTGTTAGCATCATCATAAACAGTCCTTTCACGTTCTCACTGCAGGGGCTCAAGGCTTTCCTTATGGATAAATAAGGAGGATGGGCCATGACCCGCCACGCTGGTCCAATGAGCACGGAATAGCTCGAGATAATAGTTTTTGGTCAGCTATCCCGTACCGACCCTTGGGAAAGTTGCTTTACAAAAACGACTACGGGCCTCGGCGCTTATACATTATACTACTGAGTTACTGTTGCTGTGAGCATCATAATTTAACTTTTTGCATATTTATAATACATATAGTATAGAAATACACCACTGCTACAGATTTGTAGTAAGAAGGGAATCATTATTTACAAAAGAGAAAATTCTCTAAAAAGTTTGTTTTCTATACGAGTATATATACTAGTGCTGCCATCTACGCCGAGCTTTGCGTAATATTCCCTTTTAAAAAGATACATGTATATTTGAAGGAGGCTAATCAAATTTCATTAATTTTAATTCATTGTGAACTTAGTTATAAAGCACAAATAAACTAAAACCATTAATGTGAAAACTACATCATTTCTTTATAAAGTTACGATATTGGCAAATAAAAATAATACTAATTAACTGCTAAGGTCATACAGCAGGACTTTACTATAGTACGTCTTGACCGAATCTGTTATATAAGAGTGTACCTGTATTTATTACCTTGGCCGAATTGAAATAAAGATCAAATAAAATTCGGTCCGCCAAGCTTCGATAGTTTTGTAGAAGTCTGTTTTATTTTAAAAAAATATGGATTTAAACCTTCCGGTAACACGCGCTCATATTGATGTTAAAAGGTATAGCAGAGAGATTCCGTTAAAACGAATCTGACTTCAAATTCACTCAGGAGACCAAATTCACTTAAAACGTTAATCCGCTTAACTTACATAAGTGTAAAAATATTAGTGTAAATCAAAATGACATTGGGACAGGATGTCTCAGATATTCTATCCCAATGTCATTTCGAAACTCGATTCACTTATGCCACAAAACGTTACTATCAATTGAAGGTTAAGCGAATTTCGCTTTCAAAGTGAACTCGGACACCTGAGTGAATTCGTATTCGGGTTCGGATTTTTACAGAATCGCTCTTCTGCTATTTAATTTAAATCTCTTTTGTTTCAGTGCGTAACAGAGATCTACGCGGTTGCACAGAAATTATAAGAAACTGTGAGCTGCTAGGTCTAACTCTTCCATCAGATCAGCAGGGTAGATTTTTAACAATGTTGATATTAGGTGAAACTTCAAAGGAGACAGAAAAACCAACATGTAATACGGCAAAGAACTTCAAGCTTAAGTTTTAAAATATGTATATTATGTTTTTAATTTTAGATTTTGTGTAGAATAAACTATTTTATTGTTATCTCGCATGTTTTAGTTCATTATCCATGTGAGTATATAAAAAACTTGTAAATGAGAATAGAGGTCTTGAACTCTAACAAACTTATCAACACAAGTTTGCGAATATAGGAAACGTTGATTATTGACACGGTTCTATTTTCTTTTTTATTATGTAGGAATATTTATTCATGATAGTAATAATAATAATAAATATTTTTATTTTTTACAAATTCACATACATACATTAATTTGTGAGAGACTGGTGTCTATAGTAGGCTTAGCCTCAAATAATAAATCACCAGGTTCCCACCCCACGATCGATCGAACATATCTCTTATTTTCATATAAATTTAAGCTATAGGTACTACAAACACCATTACTGTCAATCTCGATCTTTACATTAATTCATAAGGCACAGTAAAACAAAACACTATATTTAATCTATGGCATAACTTATTTTAAAGGTATTAACATCTCTGTTTCATCATATGATTAATAGCCAAATTTTATTATTGAAAACATAGTCAATTTACTATTGATTTTGTTATACAGATAATTCCCCAAAAAGGAAAAAAAATATGTGATAGACTCATACTATAAGATTGGATGGTGCAAACTTTACCCTTTCTTCTTTTGTTCATATTTATTTCATTATGATAACTTAATTGGGAGTGTTTTCTCTGTGTTACAGAAAGGATAAAAAGTTTTCTTCGTTAAGTACTGCAAATGAAACCGGTGCCAATGGTTTAACGTGACTTCCAAAGCACGGAATAGCTTGAGAGAGTAAATAGGGATGATGACTAATTTTTGTTTGTTTGTCCGTCAGGTAGAGTGTTAAAAAATATTAAACACGTATTTTTTTTTTCGTAATCATAAAATTACGGCGTTACATTAAGTTGAAATTTTGCATGACGTCACGTTAGAGTACGTTTCCTACTCAACTGTGACGTAGCGAGCCCCCACTCCTCAACTTTAATGCCTGTTATCTATACTATGTCTTGTTAAATTGAAGTATTAAAAAAGACGTATCTAATATTTTTCTATTATCTGACTGAAGGAGTAGTAGAATTGCATTTTTTTTTATCCAGTCATCATCCCTATTGTTGGTCACCCGGTCAATGATCGGCGCTTGCAAAAGTGGTATAACTTCCGTATCGTGGACGGAACGCGCTGGTCTGGTCACTGCACCAACGCTCCTCCGTAAGATAACGCCTGAGGTCATAACATTGCACTTGCGTCTAATTAAGGATTTTCACCTTGTTTCTACCGACATGAATGTTGATAGAAACAGTGTATAGTCATAATTGAAGATTAAATGAACTTACCTAAGTGAATAATATTTTTAAACTCACACGATTTGATGTGTAAGAGAACACATAGCAGCGGTCAAAAATCGTCAACTGGAGAAGTCCGCGATTGCAGAGCACTTATTAACATCTGGATCAAACCACTGGATCAAGTTACATACACCTCATGTCCTTTCCACTGAACGACATTACTATCCAAGAATAGTTCGTGAAGCGGTTGAAATCAAAAAACACAACAATTTCAACTGGGAAAGTGGATATAAACTCTCACCAACGTGGAATCCGGTTATAAAAATGTATAAGTGTCGCGGTCGCAAACAACCACGAACAATATTCTCGGATACCGTAAGTGCAGTGTGTCGCCACCTTTACGTATAATAAAATCAAGTGGAGGGTACATCTGAAAATCGGTTAAAAACATTATTACTGGATTACCCTCAACTAAAATCAGAAGACGACACCCGCCAGTTCTCCAGTCTCCTCGTGACCACGGCTGCTATAACGTAGCCGAAACGTCGAGGTAAATTAATTGTTTTAAAAAATGCACGAACAAGACCCGATTGCATATAATTATTACCTAAGTGGAGTTCTGTCCCAATTACACGATGCTTTGTCCGAAGAAGTTAAGATAACAAGTTTAGTAAAGCATCTGGGTGCTGCCATCTATATTATAGTTCAAATCCATAAAGGAAAAAAATATATATATACATATATTGTCAGACAAAATGTACTTCCTTCCGTTTTACAGAACTATACTTCATTTAGTTAAAAGTCTGAAACATAACAACACTTATCTCCCAATCTCAATGAATAAACCTGGTAAATAGCATAGAGTATCGGGATGGGAGGGTCTTAATTTCTTCGGAAAAAGCCTCGCGTCACTTAGGTAAGTTCTATCCCAATTACGCGAGGCTTATACTTCAGCTTTCTCCTCAAAATTAAGATAACACTTGTCGACTTTGAAAGAAAATTGCTATGTACCTAGTATATTCATTGAACATACTTATAAGTAATAAACTTAAATAAAACGAATGAATATAATGATCTTGTACTATAATCAAATTACCTATTTGGAAAAATCAACATTTCTAAATTAACTCAGTTTAATAGGAAATTTTTTTTAAACGTATACTTTAGTTAACAATTATACTTGATTCTCATTAACATTATTATTATTATCTTGTATATACATATGTATATGTCGCATCAACTTTACGAAGATCGTTTGATTTAGTTTCTTTTATTTTAATTGCTAGTTACTCGATTACTGAATTACTCGATTGTAGAGAGAGCGTGATCATCGATACTTTTAATTTTATTAGAATGGTGACACTGACTTTGACAGTTCGTTAACAAAAAGCGATTTGCCGCCATATTGGCACACATTCTGTTTTCGATCGCCGAGGAGTAAAGACATCCGACGACATCACGCTCATCTCGTTATATTTTCGTGTGAAAAGTGATAAAATGAAACAAATCCACGTTGGTTTACATATCTGCAGTGTTGTTTTAAAGATAGTCCTCCGATATGGACGATCTATTTGGGCTTCGTAATAGCTACTTCTGACTACCCGCCGTTATATATATTGTAATAAATTATGTACTATTCAACGGAATGAGCAAACTCATTCTCTTCAGTATCAATTATCAATCTTTGATAAAATCTAGCAAAAATTGATGAAATTCCACTCCAACTGGCTCTATTTCTTATTTTATCAATAGCGACCCCAGATCTGTGTGCAGCAGATGTGCTTGCATGTCTTGTAGAATAAGCAGTGAAAATAATGGTATCGATAACAATCTCAGTTAAAGTTCTTTTAATCCATCTGCTTATGGTCTAAGATCCAACAGGGTTTTACCATATTACTGTTGGATCTTATATTACTGTTGTAATTACCTATCCTTAAAATAATTTCCAAAAAATCAGCAAGTAATTGCAGTTGATTAATATGTAATTTTTTTTTCTATCAGGATCCATTGTTCATTAGCGGTTTCTTCTCCGCAGGTTGCACCGCACCTTATTTTATTTAAAAATATTTCAAAGGAATATTTTTCATCTCGAATAGGATAAACAGAGTGTATTAAGGAGTTTGACCACCAAGAAAAATCTGTAGAGGACGGTACGGAGCTTGGCGTGAGTTTGTACGCTTTATTGTTGTGGAGGCGTTGGATATTTGGCGCCTCATAACTCCCGTGTGCCTGCCTGATGGTGGGGGTCGAGACTTCGAATTTAAAGTTTGGTTACTTTTAAGTGACAATGCTTGTTGATTTTTTAGTTCTGAACCTGATTTGTTTATGGCCTTTGCCGCCTTCAAGGTTTCTGCTAATTGTTCTCCAAATAGATAATTATCTATTTTTGATTCATACAATTCATAGTCATAGTCTCGTATCTTTTTTTAAATTGTAGAGCAAATAAAACCTCTTCGGATCCTAAATTCTACGTGTTGTAGGTTGCATGCCACTTTTCCAGCCTCTGTTAATAATTTTATTAGTGACAAATTAAAATTTTTCACAAGTATGTAAGGGCTTCACCTATTTAGGATATAATCATAGCTATTTGTTGCTGTTTATATTCTATAGCTCTATCTTTTTTGTAAGTATGTCTCATAAGACAACTTTTATTTCAGCATTTAAAATGTGTTTTGTGGTTTTGATATATTTCCAAATTCATTTTTCGTTGATCCTTTGTTAGCCCTGATGTAGCTATGTACTCCTAGCGCACTGCTTATATATATCTGAATACAGGTCTTGTCCTTGTCTTATGTCTTCTCTAAAGTCGTACGTTCACCGAGAATCTCCACTATTTCTACTGGTAAATTTTCTTCGCAAATAGATGGCTGAATGATAATAATTGGATCAATCGATTCACTAATTACCGTATCTGGATCAACACTCTGCACCGGAGTTTAACAAGCTTATATTTCTAGTGTGTTCTCATCATATAAAGACATGATCTCACGTGATTCTTCACAATTACAATAGTTTTCAGCTGTAATAGAGATATATTTATATTATAAACTTACCCTTTGTTACCATAAACACCTGAAGTACTTTATAAATAACATGGGTAGGTAACAGTCCTTATAAACTGCACACAATCCTTATAAAATTTATTTAATATCATCTAATATGAAAGTTATTCAAATCTCTAAGTTCTGTTATTGAGGTAACAGTCCCGTTTGAACTGTACACAACAAACGGTTATGCGTAAAAAATATAGCACTTACAATAAAGCCAATTTATAAGATAGAAACTTAATAGTCCTTATAAACTATGGACAATCAATCACAATTGTCTTCGGAAACACCCCATCCAAGTGTACACCAGACTTACTAAGTTTTACGACAACTTATTTCTGACTCAAGTAGGTACATACCATTTGTAGACGACCTTTTAACTTTTTTTTTATTTTTCTTGTTATTTCTTCCTCTTCCTCTTCGTATACTGCTCAATGTATTCTGGACTTCTCTTGGCCATTTTAATAATATACAATTAAAATTTAACTCTTTCTAAAAAAAAAACTAGTGTTGCGGGTAAGTAGGGAGCACTAAAATGTTAATGAAGTATAGTTCTGTAAAACGGAAGGAAGTGCTTTTGGTCTGACAATATATATATTTTTTCCTTTGTGGATTTGAACTATAGTAATAGATGGCAGCACCCAGATACTTTACTACACTTGTTATCTTAATTTCGAGGACATAGCTGAAGTGTAACTACTCTCATATTCTTAAACCGTAGTAAGTGAGTAACGGGGATGACATCGCTTAACGTAAAAAGATTTCTCTTTACGATATATTTTTAAAAGTATTTTATATACATCTATACTTTTAAAGCTGAAGAGTTTGTTTGTTTGTTTGTTTGAACGCGCTTATCTCAGGAACTACTGTTTAGAATTGAAAAATTCTTTTTGTGTTGAATAGACCATTTATCGAGGAAGGCTTTAGGCTATATAACATCACGCTGCAACTATTAGGAGCGAAGAAATAATTGAAAACGCGGACAAAGTCGCTGGCGACCACTAGTCTTCAATAAAACTACATTTTTTAAAGTATGTAGGTATATAACAGTGATGCTACGAATACGAATATTTGAATGCTCCAATTATAATAAAGTATTATTCGTTGCGACACTAATATATATGTCGCAGTAAGATAGATAAAGCCGTAATATAGTTATATCCCTAGGGATATAATTATATACCGTAATATAGTTATACGGAAGCGATTCATTACTATCTCACTAGGAATATAGTTATAAAGCGGTCCAAATTTAGTGATATACTTATATTACTAGATTAAGTTTAGTGAAATAGCTGCCGAAAACTTAAGAAAGGCCACCCAAAAAATGAAAACCCACTCATCACAGAAATTTCCTGACATTGACGTGGGATCTTCAGTTCTTATAGAGATACCAAAGATAGATCGTGGACCATTGGATCAAAAAAATATTTTAGGAAAAGTTTAAGAAAAGCGTAATGAAAGCCATAAAATTGGAACATCAGTTGGTATCCTGAAAAATTGAAACCCAGAAATGCAATACAGCTTTCAAACATTACTTTGAATGATCATATACCAAAAGAAAACTTGTCACTGAGAGAAATATGGTCTCGGTTGCGTAGTGGATAAGCGCCACGGCCCGCGATCATTGTTGTTAAGCAACTTTCGCAAGGGGCGGTCACGGGACTGGTGACCAAAAAATTATTATCTCGAGCTACTCCGTGTTTCGGAAGGCACGTTAAGCCGTTGGTCCCGGCTGCATTTGCAGTCGTTAATACCCTCCAATCTGCATTGAGCCAGCGTGGAGGGTCATGGCCCATCCTCCTTAACCATCCATAGGGAAGGCCCGAGCCCCTGCAGTGGGGACGTAAAAGGGCTGATGATGATGAGAGAAAAATGCCAAAAATTGTCGCGCTTTAGTGGCCAAGGTTATTTAAAATGTTCCTGTAAAAAAACTCAAAGATGTGCCTGTAAGGAGCATTCTGTGCTATGTAATTCTAAATGTTATGGTTCCTCTTCTTGTCTGAACAAAAATTAAAAACACTTTTAAAGAAACCAAGATCTCAACTTAGTTGATAAGAAATAAAGAGATCTCAAAACTGTTGATTAGCTATAAAAATTTAATGTTTGATTACATACTTTTAATTGTATTGTTATTGTTGTTTACATTCCAAAAAATATGATCGTTTTAATTATAATTGAATTAACTTTAATACACGTTAATGTCACAAAGTATTGTAACTAACTGCAGGATATATAAAGTTGATTTTTTAATAAAGATAAAACCAATATAATATTGTTTTATTTAATTATATATGGTAGATTTCTATTTCACTAAGCTTAATCAAGTAATATATTTATAACACTGAACTTAATCTAGAAATATAAATATATCACTAAACTTGGACCGCCTTATAACTATATTCCTAGTGAGATAGTAATGAATCGCTTCCGTATAACTATGTTACGGTATATAATTATATCCCTAGGGATATAACTATATTACGGCTTTATCTATCTTACTGCGACATATACATGCCTATACAAACTTTAATCCCTGCAGCACTAGTCCGTTTCATCACCTACCAATGTTCCGTTGCCGAGCATTCGTTCATGATACGTTCCGGTATGTGTGACGGAACGGTGTAGTTGGTGGCGTCTAGTTTTATTATAGATTTTTTTTTGCCTAGAACGTTTCTAATACGGTCATGATACAATGCCGTATTAGATACGTTCTAAGTAGGTACAATAGATAAACAACTTAAATAATACATACATCTATCTATGCTAAATACAGTGTAAGATAATCTTATATTCATAAAATCATAGAACGAGTGTTAGTTATTCCGAAGTTTTGTTGTTGCAAACATATTGATGTGCAATCATAAGCTGGTCAGCTTGTGTGTTTTGGCATATTTGAAGTTGTCGAATATATTCGATAAACACAAAGCTTACTTTATCTATTATACACTTATGTTAAACATAAGAACGACGAATAAGTTTAAATGTTAGCTAACGTTAAAGTTTAATTAAGATAAATACAGGGTTGAAAGTTCAATGGATGACACAGAACCCGATGTTGATAATCTAATACTCGCTCTACGTAGATTTTGTTATAATGATCATAACATTATGAATTGTATTATTATTAGATAAATTTTGCATTAACAATATTATATTGATACTTGCTGTTGACCCGCGGCTTTGTACGCATAAATTATAGCCTATGTCAACCCCGTATGATGTAGCTACACGTAGGTGAAAATTTTCAAAATTTTCAGAAGTTTTGGAGTCTATTGGATGCAAACAAACAAACAATACTAATCTTTCCTGTTTATAATATTTATGTAGATAAAATAATATATAGCATCAATAACTCTTTATTTAATTACTAAGTTTCAAATGGTTTGTCACGGAGAAATAAAGTAGTTAATCTGTAATTAAATATGGGCGAATTATATCATATTCCAAATGTTAATTTATAAAATTTTTGAAGGCTGATTGAACCGGGTCTTTTCAACTGCAATGGACGGCGGTCCATTGCAGTTGGCCTACTCGATAAAACCCTGCGTATTATCGTCTCACGTGGCACGTACCTGCCAAAGAATGCCCAGGACATCCGGACCATGGTGGACCACTGGTCCCTCCCTCTGCGGCCAAGAGGTTTACTAGGTAATTTCGAGAAACCTTCCTCAAACAGCTGGGATCATGCAATGGACGAGGGGTAGTCATCCCCCCGTCCGCCCCGTTAGTGAGAAAAAACGCGCTATTGGTAAAATTTTAACTCCCTTTCCCTTTGTCGTCCGACGAACGTTCTGATATACCGCTTCTCGACTTTCCCCTTGAGCTATACTCTTCGCGCAACCACAGGGCACACCTCTGGTGCTCCCGTGAGCGATATTACAGAAAATTTTCGCTGCCGTTAGGTTTTGTTATAAGAATGGCGTCACATTTTAATAACGAGCTAGTTAGTAAAGTTTTATTTGCTCTTGAATATGCAGTAGTGGTCTGGAATCCTTATGAGGAAAAATATATTATCATGGTAGAAAAAATATATCGTAAATTCGCGCGATGGCTTTACTACAAAAGTTATGGCTACTACCTCTATCTTTACTCGTTCCTATTCATATTGGGTATTGTAGAAATTGACACTTTGAAGCCGAGAAGGGCTATGTTTCTGATAATCTTATATCTTTCAATTCTGTACCGAAGAATTTACAACTCAAATATTCTAGAGCAGTTTTGTTTTCTTAACTCTTATTAAAATCTCGTGAAATCTCTCCGCGGGGCTAGTTGCACCAAGACACCAACCACGCTAAACGTGCAATACGTGTTATCGGGCACATATTTGCTCTACATTTTTATTATTTATATTTTTGAAAATTCCAAAATGACAATTTAACATAATCCCGGTAAATCTATTTTTTTTTATATAACTTGACAACTTGACATAATATTTTTTTGAACTGATTTTATGTATTAGTGGAATTCCAATTATTAATTTGTAGATTAACAATGACTTTTTCTTTCTATTTTTCTATTGCATTCTTGTTATTTCTTCTTGTTATAATATTATTTTTTATTCATTATATTTTTTTCGCCATAATCTAATCTTTTAAGCTTTTTGAATGAAAACATATGTTAGCTTTTAAAACTTATTTGTAATAAATAAATAAATTCGTATTCTTAGTTTTTTTAATATATATCTTTGTTGTTTTAATTAAGTGATTTAATTTTGAATTTATGTTTTTTTTAAGTACTTTAGTTTTGCCATAAAGTTCATAGTATTTAATAAAACACACGGTTAATTAAAAATCTTAATTTTATTGAGATTTTTCGTAAACTACAGGTAACATGGAATCTTAACAATAAATAATAGGTAGGTCTGTCAAAACCGCGTGGTCTCATTCTCCTTGGGCTTGCTCTCGGCGTCAGGTCCGGGAACCACGCGCTTCTCTCGCTTGTTGAGGTTGAGTAATATTCTGAAAAGAAAATATATTTATATAATGTTAAATGATATATTTCAAAAAGATAATACATATAACTATATGTTTCAAATGATATATTGCAAAAAGATAACATATATAGATAATCTGAAACAAATTTTCTTCTTTATTTGATATTTTTCATTACATTAATTTATTGCATGTCACATAGAATTGCTTTAAAAAACCTGAACATTGATAAAAGTACCTGAGAAATTCGTTAGTCCTGTTAGGCCTTGTGAGCAAAGTGTATTATGGCTTTAATTTAATCAAGAAAATAATATATAGAAAACCTTATGTCAAAACTAAGCCTTAATACACAAGAAACTATACCTTCAAGATAAAGAATAATATTTCCGTTTCCTCAGACCATTAGATATTAAGTAAACGTTGCAAACTTAAAATTTCTACTTTAGTAATATAAATGCTAACATAATCATGTTTGTTTATTTAAGTTTGGATGAAGTTTTGCACTAGAGTGACCTTGAAAATACTCCAAAATTTCTTATAAGAAACAAGTTTTTTTCTTACTTCTAATAGGAAAATTCATTGTAACACTTTATAATGAGGAGAATGGGTCATTCATGACACGCCATGCGGACCAGATGCCGATTGAAGGGTTAACGAATGTAGTTGCAGCAAGGACCAACGACTTAACGTGCCTTTCGAAGCACGGTGGAGCTCAAGCAATAATATTTTGGTCACCAAACCTCTGACTGGTCCTAGCGAAAGTTAACCACTTCACTATCGAATTCGAGCATTGTGACACGTCCAAGTGTATTTAGTCATTAACTATCACAATCCATTTAAGTTTTTTCGTTATGGTCATGATCCAGCCGCTATTGTACCACATACAATGTGATATTCCTGTGCAAAACGTATCTACTTTCATCTATTCAAGGCTTCGTTAGGAAACTATCAGCAAGTAAACATGTAACTGGACAAGGAAATATGTAACTGTAGGGCTTAAAATTAGGTTGAAGGTACACACGATAATAGAAATTCGCAGCTCAAGGTTTTCATTTGTCGATAGAAATCGTTCAATAGTCTTGATGGCAAAATTACAGTAAGGGCGTACTCTCAACACGACCGCAAGGTCGAATCTAGTTTTTGCGATTATTTCGAAATGCTCATTATAAACGCTAGAGTTGGGTAACGTGTTTAAACGTAGCGAGACGCGATGTGACGAGCTGAAAAAATACTACTGTCTTTATATAAGACTAGCTTCGTCCGGTGACTTCACCAACTATAGCTCGTCTCCAAATCCTTAGCCGGACATTAGACGATCAATCTGTGACCTAATTGTCTTATTTTAAGCTATTAAAATCCCTTACAAAAGTGTAGATATTGTGAAAGCGATTTAAGGAATCATATAACGTTTAAAGTCGTAGTCACTTGAGCGAATCATGATTTCAATGATCAACAAATATAATAACAACTTACCTAAACCCGTCGATAGATTGCAGTTAGCATTCAACTCTGTCGATTGACACATCTTAATAGCTTTCAAAGTAATATTTGCGTCTAACTATTGCCTTCCCTTGGAGCATTTTAATTAACGAACGATATTATTCATTCATTATCCTTCAAAAAACGTCGCGCTTGCAATCGCTATCACATGTCAAATAGTCGTAACGTGAAGTTCGTTAAAAACTGTCTAATGTCTTATCGAAAAGGACAGATTTTAAAAGTAGACTATAAGTTAAGCCCCTAGATCGTAATCAGGGCAGCGATTCCGTAAAAAATAGAACCCAATGCTCTGCGATTCTGTAAAAAACCAGATCCGAATTCGAATTTCCTCATGTGTGTATAAATTCTATCGATACCATTTTGGTATAAAGAACAAAACAAAATTGATTGATAATACGTGTCTCAGATATTCTATCACTATGTCACTTCAAAACTCACTTTAGGTACTTATGCCACGAAACGTTATTACCAATTCAAGGGTGATAGGATTTTGAAGTGAACGAGCAAATATTTTAAGGAAAATGAGAAAGCACTAAAAAGCACCTCACTAGATGGCGACTCTAGCAAAAGTTGATTTTTGCAAGAAACTAATAGACCAAATGTAGACATTTCAAAAAACTAAAATTTACAAATTTCGAAACTTAGATATTAATACAAATACGAAAAAGTACCAATAGAATATGATTTCAGTCAATAAACGACTTTAGAAGATTTCTTTTTTCCTTTTATATACGAAAGAGAACCGGAAGAGTTGTCGTGGAGAAATCAAGAAAATACGGTAGCGACATCCAATTTTCTTTCAGGAACTAATGTTTTTTTTTTACCGAAACAAAACTAAACCTTATTCGGTTCTAATTTTTACAGAATCGCAGGGCTGATCAAAGTTACGCATTTATACGATGCAGACAAAAATCAAATTATCTCGACAATATGTGATTCATTTCAATCTGGCTTCAATTAAAATATTACATGTTCTATCTTATCAAGATCACATATAGATTTGACGCTAGGTTGATCGTCTAATGGCCCAATTACGCAACATTTCACTAAGGTAATAATGTTTAATTATTTTTATTAACCTTTTGTTTTAATTTTATATGCTTTTTCAGTTATATTGACTTGGTGGGTTAAATATCTTAGCATTGAATTAGCAGGTAATTGAAATCCTCAGGGGCCGAGGAGCAGTCCTTTCTGGATCCCAGGACCTTAAGTATGAGTGCGTGGGAGTGGATTTATTGAGTTTGCTGTCTGCGTTTTGACAACCCTTCGGACGGGGCCGTGTAGATGGAGAGTCTCGTCAAGTGCAAGAGACAATGCATAATGCGTTCCCCCTACGACTCAAATAATTGAGATCCTTTGGATAAATCTAATTTCATTTGACTAGGAAACATACCTTTAGTTCTTATGACTAATAACATTCTCGACAAAGTAATGAATAATCAATATATACAAGTATATTAGTATTGTGAGTTTAAATTGGCCATCATCACAAAAAAGGAAAATAGTATCGAATATAAGTTTGTAATTTACCTAAAAAGTATTTAAATACGTTTTTATTCAAAGTCGCTATAAAGAAGATTGGTTTGCCGCATTAGATTATGAAAGAAATTTATTTATTTATCGTAAATAATTATCTCAGCGAAGTCTTTCATTTGGTACCCATAATATTGTAAGAGTGCTTCAAGATCTTGCTCAAAGAAATCCGCCATCTTGTGTTGTTTTGTGGCTGTCCACCGTATCATAACAAAACCCATTCATATGACGCTCATATCATGACATAGCACAAAAAATAAACAGGCCACCTAGGGCGGCAGAGTATATGGGATTGAGACTGTTCATGTAGAGTAAGCTCCTTAAATTGGCACTCAAATTTTTTACTCTTGTCTAAGACCAGTGATCTAATTATCTAATTTCATTTCCTTTCAATGGGATAGCGATTGTGCTAGCGATTCATGGAATTATTTAACGTTTGAAGTCGCAGTAGATTTGAACGGAATAATGATGTGAACATCTTGCACTAACCTTAGACAATTCCAATTAATCTTAAAATAACGATGTCGGTCGTTAATTGAAAGGGATCATGAAACATTTTTAAATTAGACAATTAGACTTCAGGTGTGTTTTAGCAACTTCTCCCGCATAAATTATAGCCTAACCCGCGTATGATGAAGCTTCCCGTAGATGAAAGAATTTTTAAAGTCGGTCCAGTTTTTCGGAACCTTTTTCGGAACCTTCGGATTCAAACAAACAAACAAATCTTTCCTCTTTATAAAACTAAAGACTGGTATATATTCACGTGCTACGGTAAAATTCGTCATCGCATACTAGATTGTGACGTCATCTTGTTCCGACCTTGTCACGCGGGTAACTGAACGGTATCGCGTTCCATAAACAGAAACGTTCAAAATAGAAACTCAGTCATTCATTGTTGTAAGCAAATAATACCTTACGAGTGATAGCATAAGGATAACAATTCGCTGAGAATTTCGTTTCGACAATTGTAATTTCTACAGAAATGCTTGCTATGGACATATGAGAAGGGATGAAACGCTGGAATGATATGAACGGAAAGGAAATTAATGATGACATGACAATTGATGGAGAGCAATGAAGAAAATACATGAAAATATGATTGAAAAACGATGAAAGATAGGAAGATAGATTGGAAAAGAAAACATCAAATCACACATTTGGAACTGTCTTAGTAAACTTGGGCCAAGACGTTAAAAAAATTGTTTATACCAATATTTTAAAGAGGAAAGTTTGACTATTTGCTTTAAATAGACTGCTAAACTAATAGACTGATATTAAAAAATATTTCACCTATGGGAAACTAGATCAAAGAGGGTGAGATACCCAGGCTATCATTTACGCCTAGAAAAACACCTAGTTAAAAATAAACATATTGATTATAAAATAAATAATAAGAACAATAAGACTTTTCGTTTAGCTGTTGCTTTGTCTCTAGCCTTTTTAGCGAAATCAAAGGTACAATAAAAAAAACTCATGCCATACTGAGGACATTTCAAAATGTTACATTTTCCTCTATAGACCTTAACCTAGTTATGATTTATTAGTTCGTAATTATTGGTTTTAAAATAATTTGTCACCTTTGTATTTTTTTCATTGAGAAAACAATATAAGGTTAGGTTTAAGGTTGATTAAATTATTTTCATAGCTCGATCTTTTGTGTGCAACATTTTCACTTTAAAATGTGGGTGTTTCTTAATGAGAATGCTATATGATTATAGACGAGAGCTGTTATATTAAGTAGTATATTTAGACCGCGCGCGTGGCACTACGAGCGGTATTATAATAATTAAGACGGGGTTAATATAATAACCTCATAATAAATATATGAAATTAATCTTGGCAGAGCTGAGCAAAGTATCTCAAGGTAACCACCGCTTTAAACAATATAGTTCTTAATGAGAAATTCTTAAAAAATCCACTTTGTGCCGAGAACTCTGAGATGAGATTCGAGTCCATGACCTTTCGCAATCTGGGCGACAGCTCTACCACTAAGCCACCCAGGACCTAACGAATATTTTTAAGCACATAACAGAGACAAAGAGGATTTGTTAAGCAGTTTTCATTAATAATAATTTAATAATAATAATAATGTGCTAGCGCAGCAGACGTGAGTGGGAAACTGAAGTATCTATTAAAATCTTTATTTAATCGAACGTATTGTCGGCTGATTGTACAGTCATAAAGTTAAAGTTCTTAAATAGTTTAAAATACCCATCAGTTCCTCTTCTCACCTTACCACAGTGCTGATGCGACGCCCGTGCGTCCTAAATCATTTATTAACCTGACTCACATTTCTTTCACCGTTTTAATTTTTCAGAGCTATTGCGCAATCGTGCCCCACTTGAAGTGGATAGTCTCTCTCTACTCTACTCCGTAACCTGCTCCTCGGTGAATTTATTGCAGCTATGCTATTATGTTAAAAACAGACTCGAACTCGTCGTCAAGCGTAGCACTGTCACGTAAAAGAGCTGTAGTTGCTCCGTAACTTTGTATCGATAAAGAATGACTCTAAATATTTTTTATGCGTCTACTTCGAAATCCATTGCGTGGTTGAAGGGGTAATAACCTAACTGACACAGGAAAGATCTGTCTCAGAAGCAGATTGACTTTCATTTATACTGTGCAGTAATTAGTAATATTACGATTGCGTATAATACTTTAATTTGAAATAGATAACATTTATGTTATCTATTTCAAATTAAAGTATTATATTCATAAGGAATAGTTTTTGCCTGGACCTTTGTCGCTGTTTAAAAAAATATATAAGTTATATATAAGTAAGACCACTTATAATGTCTAGCTGAAAATGTTTTTCCGATTTGGTATATATTCTTGCATATCAGGTATATAAAAATTGCAATATAAAATTTAGCAGAGTCATTGAGTCGAGAAATATTGACAAAAGAAAGCTCATGACCCCGAAAGATTAGAAAGGCATCTTAGCCAAATTATTTTTATTCGTAAGGAAGCTGGATCTGTATATGACTGGTAAATAAGTAGTGAGGCAATTCAAAAATAATTGCAGGATACTTACATTAATATGACTATAGCAGGAACCGCGAGCGATGCACTGATGAGGTAGAAAGCGCCAGCGAACGAAGACAACGTGGTGAGGTACACTTTACTGTACACAGGAGAGTATACCACTGGCACCAATGCCTCCGATATACTAATTAGAGAGCTTGTTTTACCTAAAAATAAAAAAAATAAAGTTAATTTAACATTCATGACGAACAGGATTATTTAGATTTTTTTAAATTTCTCCCGTATCTACTCTTTTCTTAAATATAAACTTTTCTTATCTACTCTTTTCTTAAGATAGACTGCAAAGAATTTTATGCAATCCTTCGTTAACGTTACAGTAATTGAATTTCATGTAGCATTTTGCATTAGGCAAGCAACCTATCTACTACTTGATGTTATATACTGTGCTTGATATTGCTGACTCATTAATTATTTTTATGATAACCACATTTTAATTCGATACTTCTTTGCTTAACATACTTTTCAGATATAGATATCTTTGGTTTATTCCGATGTGTGCTAAGTCGAGTATTTTGACTATTTATGACATATTGCAAACTAAATAGGGGTTTATAGAACTATTCTTAATATTTTTATTTTATAGATGTCCCTTCATGGAATATAAATTAAAAAATCATATAAAAGTATGATTAAATATAATAAGTTGAAATCTAAAAATAAATTATCAAAATTTCCCGCGAGACCGCCAACATCTGTCATGGCGTCGCTATAACGCCCCTTTAAAACTGATATCGTTCTATGAATACATAAGGTTACATTTTCTAAGTTCTAATATGAGTAAGAGGGGCATGATGTGGGTACACGTGACTACGTGTATAAAGTATTTGATTTTCTGTAATTAATTTAAGCAATATTATAAAATTTAACTTTATTTTGAATAGATATAATAAGCATAAAAGGATCGGTAAAAGTATGTTAAACACTACTGGTAAAAAATATACTTATTTTCGTTTACTGTCTACACCGTTTTCGTTTAATAAAATGTACTGTCTACACCGGTATTGGTATAATCTATCGTTTATAATTATAAAATAGAAAATAACCCATTATTTCATTAATGTCTTGTATTTATAATGCCTCAGAAATAAACATCTTGAAACAAACGTTTATTGAAAAAGTTAGACCCATTCGTTCGATCAGTCATAAGTATATTTTGATATATTTTTAACACCTCCTCGTCCTCTATACTAAACTGATTCTCGTGACTAAAATTTAGTTTAACTTAAAATGTTGTTTTGTAGTCTCTCAACTTTTCGTAAATAAACTTGTAATAAAGTCTTTCTAGCTATACCTTTTGTATTTGGCTGGTTTCAGTATTATTAAAAAGTTTCAATTTTAAAGAAGATAAATCCGAATTCAAGTTAGAAAATGTGTCATTTTCTATTTTTTTTCTTACTTTCAAAATGAGTGAGTCTAATGAAGGAATTCGATATCTTTTTTTTTACGAAAGTAAAAATGCAACGCAAGCCGCGAATTTTTTTAATATAGTTTATGGATCTAGTGCGGCTTCTCTGAGACTAGCACAAATTTTGTTTAAGATTTTGCAGTCCTGAAATTTTAATGTGAAAGATGTACATCGCTCCGGTTGTCCTGTTACGGATAAAATGGATGCCATTTTGATTGGAGCAAGGTCGTCATATCAGTAGACTGTGGCAAAACCCGGGTTAACTCGCAACAAGATGATGCTGTGTGTATGGTGAGATTGAAAGGACATTAATTATTATGAGCTTTCACTGCCAGGCAGGACCATCGATTTTGAACTCTACTGCGAACAACTGATGAGATTAAAACAAGAAGTTGAGAGTAACCGGAATTAATAAAAGGGGTGTGGTGTTTCATCATAACACTAAACCTCACACTCAGCTTAAATTAAGGAGGTATCAATGCATCCGCCGTATAGTTCTGACTTGCACTTTTAGATTTTCACCTGTTTCGGTCTCTTCAGATTTTTTTAGGCAGTGACAGGTTATCATCACGTGAGGTCTGCCGAAATCACTCATCGCAGTTTTTTAATCAGACCTACCTACAACATGGCAAAAAGTTATTGAACAGAATGGTACCTACATACTTTAGTTATGATAAGATGATTTTGCTTAAATAAAAATCTATTTAAAAATATTGTAATTATTTGCATTATCAAGAGGAAATTGTCTATGTCGGGTTTGCATTGTAAGCAGAGACAGGCTGAGGAAAACCGTTCATAATGTTGTAGTATACGAAATTCGATTTCACGATTGTAACGATCACTTCCTCCGGTAATTCAAATCATGTAAATAAACGCTTTATAAACACGTGACAAACGTGACACAAGTAAGCAAACAAGTTTTTTTCCCAACTATGGCGAAGCGAAAAGGAGGGTTATGATTTTGGCCGGTATTATATTTCTAATATAACTTTATAACTTCGAAACTACTTATCATAGCTGGGGCGGTAGTCTCGACACAGTTTGCGAACGCAATGTCACCGAATTCGGTCGCTAACTCATAGCGATCGTAATTTAACGAATATTGCAAGTCTCTACATTTAAAGTTATCGATTTTTGTCGGTAGCGTAGCGAGTTCAACTGTCAAATTAACGAATTTCGCTAGCTCCTTAGCGACCAAATTTGACAGCTCGATAAGTGACTTTTGCGATCGCTAATAATATTTTTTTCGATATTTTACGGCATTTCGAGGTATATATATCGGAAATTTAGTCATAAAGATATTTAAAACGTGATGGCTGAAGCCTATTTAGCATTAGATTTGACATTGCTTGAACATAGGCTATTCGCCGTCGATACACCTAATGGTGAGGCGACGGCAAATAGCCAGAAATAGGCGATGTCTCCAAAATCCTTTGGCTTTAGATGAGACGGAATTTCTTATGCTATATAGAATTAGCAGAAGATTGATCGAACGTTTTTATACCTAAGATTATTTTTTATTTCAATATATTTTATGTAGGTAGATGTACAAATTAAAAACGACCATATAAGTTGTAAATTCACTTTTATTTATTTTACTCATTGCCTGTGCATGAATCAATGAAGCTTCGGCCTGCTTCATTGCAGCCTCTGTCTGAAATTTTGATGCAGCTGCCAGCATCTATAACAAATAAACTATATAAATGTGGGACTCTCTTTACCCATATATAGGTATCAGTCTGATATTCAATCTTGTTGAATTCATAATGTGTTTGGGTATTTTTGTTTATCTATTATTAATTAATTCATTTCAAATACATAACAAAATCATATTTAATAAAGATTGTGTAAACATACCTTCATTGATTCCGCATTTGACTCTCCAATGGCGAGAAATTGAGTTTAATCGTGTTGCTCTGCAACACTTCGGCGAGAATTGAGATCTAAAAAAACAGTATAAAAATATTTATCATTATAAATATTTATAAAATTCATCGCAGTATGAACAATAAACATGGAGATTGTACTAACTTCTCTTCCTTCTTGACTGCACCTCATTTTGAGTATTGGGAGCCGTATTGCCAATGCATACTAAAATAATAATTAGCATTACGTTAGTAATATATCCTAATAGAAGAGAAGTAAAAATCATATCAAAAAAGCGAATTAAAAAAAGTCATACTTAGCAATATTTGGAGCACGCGGAGCCTGCTGCACGTGTGACTCCGCATCTGAATCTCCCACCATGACTCACAATACAAATTATTTCAATAAATTATGTGAAGTTTTTCACGAAACAGCGTAACCGTAATAAACAATAATGTTTTGACATATCGATGACATCAAGATGTTGCAAGGAAACAAATTTTAATTTCCAATAATAATCAAATTGATTTAACACATTTAATAATTAATTATACTTATAAAATAAATAAAAAGCAATCATTTTCTAGTACGCATTTTTTTATTATTTTTATTTGCTAAATTGAACATGAAATCATTACTTATAAACAAAATACGTTGTTTTGATTTCCTTAGATTTAAAATACTTTTGTCAGAGGCAACATTTTCTCCTTTAGGAAACTGCACTATGAATACAGATTTGCGATCGTATTGCTCATAGCGATACGATCGCAAGTTATCGAATGTCAAATATTAACGAAAATAATTGTTTGCGGTAACGATCGTTACTTCAAATGCAAGTCTCTATTACCGAGTTAGCGAGCAAAATCGTAAACTATTCAGACGCTAACATATCGAAAATCTGTATTCATAGTGCAGTTTCCTAAAGGAGAAAATGTTGCCTCTGACAAAAGTATTTTAAATCTAAGGAAATCAAAACAACGTTTATTGTTTATAAGTAATGATTTCATGTTCAATTTAGCAAATAAAAATAATAAAAAAAATGCGTACTAGAAAATTATTGCTTTTTATTTATTTTAAAAGTATAATTAATTATTAAATGTGTTAAATCAATTTGATTATTATTGGAAATTAAAATTTGTTTCCTTGCAACATCTTGATGTCATCGATATGTCAAAACATTATTGTTTATTACGGTTACGCTGTTTCGTGAAAAACTTCACATAATTTATTGAAATAATTTGTGTTGTGAGTCATGGTGGGAGATTCAGATGCGGAGTCACACGTGCAGCAGGCTCCGCGTGCTCCAAATATTGGACCTGTTTGAAGTTCTTTTTGAACATAAAATATTGCTAAGTATGCACTTTTTTGAATTCACTGAGCTTGATTAATATTATGATATGATTTTTACTTCTCTTCTCTTAGAATATATTACTAACGTAATGCTATTTATTATTTTAGAATGCATTGGCAATACGGCTCCCAATACTCAAAGTGAGGTGCAGTCAAGAAGGAAGAGAAGTTAGTACTTCATGTTTATTGTTCATACTGCGATGAATATAATAAATATTTATAATGACAAAATATTTTTATACTGTTTTAGATCTCAATTCTCGTCGAAGTGTTGCAGAGCAACACGATTCGGCCAAACTCAATTTCTCGCCATTGGAGAGTCAAATGCGGAATCAATGAAGGTATATTTACACAATCTTTATTAAATGTGATATGTATTTGAAATGAATTAATTAAGAATAGATAAACAAAAAATACCCAAAAACATTATGATTATATCAAATTCTATATATGGGTAAAAAAAGGAGACCCGCATTTATTTAGTTTATTTGTTATAGATGCTGGCAGCTGCATCAAAATTGCAGA